TTCTTAGGTCCACAAGGGGATATATATATTAATTTGATATGTTCAAACCAATTTAACTTATTTTTTTACTAGTTATAAACCAATTCTATTGATTTTCACTAATTCGTTGTAAAACAATTTTTTTAACTAACTAATCTGATTAAGAACTAGTTCCTAATCGAACCGTTCTGACATCTATGCAATACTTCCATCAAGTTTATATGTTTGTGTATATAATAATTAAAACTTCTTTTATACATTATTTGTGTACAACTTCGTACAATGTAAAAGGAAAAAAAAAACTAAATTATCGTATTACCATTATAATAGATAGTAGACACAAGTAAAAAAAAAGTGTATATATAAACATGCTATCAGAAAAAAAATATTAAAATAAACTTAATATACATGTCACGACATACTAAGTAAAATTTTATCATGTATCAAATTCACAAACATGTCAATATATATCGGGTTATGTATAATGCAATATATATAAAAGGAATTTGTTTATTATATGAATAAGTCTATTTAGACTTATTTTATTTAATAACTCATGTTTTACATCAAATTTTAATGATTAAATAGTTGAATTTAAAATTTTTAATGCATAGATCAAATTTATAAGTTTTAAAAAATTTAAAATTTTTTGATACTTCGTTTCATCAATTCAAATTAATGTATAAAATAATTTTATGATTATCCGTCAATTTGAATTAATGAAATGAAGTATTAAATGATTTATAAATTTTTTAAAAATTTGTATATTTGATTTATGCATTAAGAACTTTAATTTTAACGGTTGGATTGTTGAATGTAGAACATGAGTTATTGAATGAAATAAGTTTATGTAAATTTATTCTTGGAGTAAACAGATCCCTCTTCATTTATATTTATATTTATATTTATTCTCAAAATTAAATTTAAATTTTCCATATCTACTTTTGAATATGAACTTAGGGGTGGATTGAATTAGGATTTCGATGGGGTTTTTTAAAATAAAAAAGTCTTGTGGATTTTAATGAATTTTAGAAGATTTTGAAGGAATGTGATAACCTTTAAGATTTTAATGAATTTTAATCAAGATTTTATAGTTAGTATTTTAATGGATTTTGATGGATTTATATCATAAGATTTTAAAGGATTTTATGAATTTCACATGAAAATATAAACATTGATTTCACATGATTAATAAAAAATATAAATAAAAAAAACATAATTTTTATAGTTTTTTGACAAATAATTGTCTCTATCTTTAACAAATAATTGACTTTAATGTTTTTCTAATTAACATTTATTCACATATTTAAAGTTATATTAATCCTTCACGCATTGACATATTCTCTTTCATTCTCTTGCGTATGAATAATATATTCAAAATTATAGTTTTCATTAACTGATAGCATCAAAGATGAAGATTCATCCATTTATTCAATTGAAAATTCACCAAAATGACATTCATTATGACGAAGAAAATTATGTAATGTTATACATGTTAACAGAAATTCAGCTCGTATCTTAAAAAGAAATAGAGATATCGATACTAATTTAAAAATTGTAAAGTATGATTTTAAAATACCAAATATTCTCTTGATTACATTTCTTAATGAGTGACATAAATTGAACACTTCATTTTCATTTTGAAGGTTATTATTACCGTAACTTGCAAAATCTTGGAGATGATATCAAAATCTTAAAGGTTATTATTATTTTGAAGGTTATTATTACCATAACTTGCAAAATCTTAAAAGTCTTGATTGAATACTATTTTACTTTTTTATGTTATTCAAAAGTCTTGATTAAATATCATAAGATTTTTTATAAAAAAAAATCCTTCAAAATCTCAATCCAATATACTTCATAAATTAAGGAGGATGTGTGATTTATAAATTTAGGGATTA